ATACAAATGTGTGAAGATTCAAATTGGTGCCGTGAAAAATGAACGTGCTATTTGGTCGTGGGTTTCATCCACAAAATTAAATAGGAATTATTTTGCACAGGTTATACTGTACCTCAGAATCTATAATATGATAAAGAAAATATATGGGACAATATATTTTGTAGATTTTTTGGGAATTCTGAACAAACAGTATTGGTACACAATATGAAAGGATTGCACTCTCTGCTCTTTTTGGGTGTTTTCAGGCTGCTGTCCTCCCTGTGACGATGATGCCTTAGTCATGTTTGTTTTATGACTCATCCAAATCTCTTCCTCTTTCTATCTTTTCTTTTTGCCCTTTCTACCCCTCCCCCACCCTTCTCTCCCATGCTCTGCCCATCTCCTCTGTTTTTATATGACATCATCTCACTTGGCTACCCTCCTCCCCCTTACAACATTGTCTTCCCCATCTATCCATCCCCATGGCCCTCCATCCCTTATTCCATTCTGCTTCTCTCATTTCCTTCCATCTTTCTTAACCCTCCTCCTTACCCTACCCATTCTACTGCCCCTTCTCCATACATCCTCCATTCTGCCTCTCCACTCCCTTATCTAAAAATTTCTCTGACCCACCATTTTCTTTACTTTTATCTTTGTATCTCTTTTGTATTGCCTTCTTTGCTCCCTGCATCTGTCCTCTCTTACATCCCTCCCTCCCTTCCTCCTTCCATGCATGCATCTCTCCATCCATCCTTCACTTCTCCTCCTCCGATCCCCCCTCCTCCCAGGATGTTGCGATGGCTGGTGTGTGGTCGGTTGGGTCCAGTTTGGATGTGGAAAGCACTGCTGCTCTTTGTGGCCATTGCATTTGCTGGCCAGCTGCTGGGGGTCATCTTCAACAAGAGGTATCTGATTTCATTTATTCATTTTATTTTATTAGGGACCGAGCCAGCGACCGCTGGATGTCCCTATTGTATTTGCTATGTTTCTTATTATTCTTAGCTATTATTTTTAGTGCCTTTTACTGCGTTTTTGCCCCCCTGAACATATATGAAAACTCTTGAGTTGTCAGGCCTGGTGAAAAATTGGATATTCTATGTGCCGCTTTCAGGTCGGCCACTAGGTGGCGCTACTATCATGAAAATGCGTTTAGGCTAATAACTCCCACATTGTTTGTCGCACATTCAAAAACCTTATATCCACATGTTCGGTGAATGGAGCTGCATCTCCCCATATAGGCCACGCCCACTTCTGCCTATAATTTTTTTTCGCTAGAGCACGAAATGTCCAAAAACTACTTTTTTGTGTTACTCCTATACGCTTTGTCCGATTTCCACGAAATTTTTCACATAGCATCTGGGGACCGTCCTGGCAAAAAAAGTAGAAGAATTTTGAAATTTCAAAAAATAAGAACGCTATAAAATTAAGACTTCCTGTAGATTTTTCGTCAAAACAGGAAGTGGAGCATTTCTCCACATTGGTATGTCCGATTGACACCAAGCTTGGGTCCATAGTTCCCCATGTCTTCCTTAGGCATCGTGCACAATTTCAGGCCATCACCACAAGGTGGCGCTCTTTAAAATGAAGAAGTTTATATCTCCGGCATCGCATGTGCGATTAAAATGAAACTTGGTAGGATGCTTGCCCATGGCTCCCTGAGGCTCCCTAATAAATGTGTCCAATGATCCACCACTAGGTGGCGCTCTGGTGGGATGGTAAATCACTGTGTGAAGACCGTAATAGTTATGAATATGAAATTCACAGGGCACGTGTAGACTGGTGCCTGTAGCTCACATACCAAAAATCGTGTTTGTCGGGTTTGTAGCGCCCCCTACAGGATTTTAAAAAAGCAGCCCCGGCGCCACGTTTCACCGATATGTACGAAACTCGGTAGGCACGTGTAACCTGCCAAGACGTACAAAAAAGCCTCTTGGACCCAAACCCCACGGGAAGTCGGCCATTTTGATTTTGATTTTCACTTTCGGCGAAATTTTCGCGTTGTATTTGAACGAACTCCTCCTAGGGAATTCATCGGATCTGCTTCAAAATTGGTCAGTACAGTCAAAGTATGTTGCTGATTAAAAGTGCTATTTGTGCATGTACGTTGAAGGGCGTGTCCGTGGCGTGCCGTCAAAGTTGGTCATTTTGAATTCCGTGGTCATTTTCTGTGAATTTTTCGTGTTGTATTTGAACAAACTCCTCCTAGGGAATTCATCGGATCTGCTTCAAAATTGGTCAGTAGAGATAGAATATGTTGCTGATTAAAGTTTGTGCTATTTGTGTATGTACGTTGAAGGGTGTGTCTGTGGCGTGCCGTCAAAGTTGGCCATGTTGAATTTCGTAGCCTTTTTCTGTGATTTTTTGCGTTGTATTTGAACGAACTCCTCCTAGGGAATTCATCGGATCTACTTGAAATTACTATTTTTATTTGTGCACGTACATTGAAGGGTGTGTCCGTGGCGTGCCGTCAAAGTTGGCCAGGTTGAATCGAATCTCAAACTGTGATGCCATTTCCGGCATTTAAGGGCTTCTGTTTTAACTAACTCCTCCCAGATTTTATCAGATTGACTTCAAATTCGATCACTGCAATCTAACACATTGGTGATCAAAAGTTGTGCTATTTGTGACTGTACGTTTAACCCGTGCCCGTGACGACGTGTCGAATTCCGCCGATTGGCAAAAAAACAGATAGTACTCCTATCTTCGTGTTCAGTCACCCTGAACACGTCCTCACAACTTCAGTGTACATGGTCCAATGTCAATGAAACTTCACACGTTTGAGAAGAGTCCCGCCCTGAACACGTCTACATGACAATATTCAGATATAGTGATAGCGCCACCTACTGGCAACAGGAAGTAAGTGCTGCATAGCGACTTTGATCTGATTTACGTGAAATTTTCATGTTTTGGTCCGCACGTGTTACGCCTGCATGTGACGCGGCCGCAGCACGCCCCGAGTTGCGTGGAGTGCGAGGGCCCGTTCATCGTTGCTTGCAGCTTTAATTGTATTTGTTTTCCATTGTCTAATTTAGCTAGAACTGCTATAGACCCCTGCACTGTTTTAAACAGTATTTATTTTGCACTGTATTGTTTCCCAGGAGCATTTATAGTTAAATATTGTATGTATACCCTTGCTGATGCTGCATCCTTTGTTGCACTGACATGTACCTGTAAATTCTTTGAAAAGCTCACTGTTCAGTTTTCTGTTTTGTTGTTTTAAATGGTAATAAATTGCATGTGAAGGTCCCTGACAAAGGGGAACTCGACAGAATGGGGACACCTCAAGCTCCATCAAATCTGCCAGTGGCGACAGCTGTGTGTTTGCATAATAAAATATCTCTCTGTTGGAATCTGGCTATAGACTACACATCTGTGTTAAGTGCACTTCATTAAAGCAGTGGAGGTATGGACTACTGAACCAAACACATAACACACACTCTCCTCTACACACACACACACAGCTGCTGGTATATGGAGGGTTTGTCAGCTGTCAATCACATCTTTGAATGTGAGAATTTCAATTATAGTGACATGAGATAAACCCAGGTGTCAATCAAAGTGGGAGTTTCATCCACATGGAAGTTTAGGAAATTATGAAAACTCTGATTGTGTGAACTCGGACAGCAGCCATTCTGACATGAAATAGTAGGGTAAACACAGGTGTTACCAATGACTTTAACTAAAGTTCCATTCGATTCAGATCAAACAGTCAGGATGCTGCTACTGTCTGCTCTGACACAGACTCCTAATATTTGCATTCCTGTCTAGTTTTCAAGCTACAACGGTGATCTAAGACTTCTAAGTTCAAGAGTTAGCAAGGCTACAAGTGATATTACAAAAAGCTTCCCAAAAGGACCTTCTGGAGGAGAAAAATAACACGTTTTACAGCCTGCAGTAGACAGTATGTACCTAGCTGGACATCTGTGGTGAAGCGCAGCTTGTGGATCATACTGATCTTGAAGGACTTGTAGTGGTGGCTGCTCAACATGTCTTGGACTGTGGTGATGTCAATAGGAGGATCTTCCTCTGAGCTCTCCTCACCCCTGGAGCCTGGACACACACAAAAAAAATGAATATATGAATACAAAACAAACACCTTATTTTCCCTGAGCTACATTGACAAATGACAATGTGCGTTATTCATTACAAGACAAACAGGAAGAGGCAGAGCAGGTTGTCGATGTAAATAAATCTATTACTTCAGACAGCACAGTAAAATGTAGTGAAAGAAAAAGCTTCTTCAGAGCAATAAAATATTTAAGAGTTGCAGAAACCCAGCAACACTAAGGAAGAGCAAATATATTTACCCCCATGATTATGACCAAACACTATGTTTGTACTGTAAAAACATCAGTCTTGATGTGTGGAACTAGATTCTGGACTAGATTCAAAGAGGTTGATGAAATATGTTACTTAGCACCCAAAACTAAAACTGCGAATTTGTGTAACCATCTGAAAGCTAATGATTATTTTGCCTATATTATCTGCATGAAGACAATATGGATTGCAATAAATACTTTTTATTTGTCCCTGAAATGTATACAGAAAACTTTAAAACTATCCTTAGATATGAAAGCACTGTATAAAACAGTTATATCCACGACTTACTGTTTTCTCGAACCAGGCAGAACTCCAGGGTGCTCTGGCTCTCCAGTGTCAAGTCCAGGTCTACTGCAACGTTTGGCTCTGTCTGCTTCTCCAGACGGTACATGGGCCCTGTAGGAGAGCGATGGGAATCAGACTACAGCAACACACCTTAGCTTTTACTCCAAATCTTACAGTTGGGTGGAGGGCAGCTCTAATTCTTGCTGATGCCGCAAAGCTCTATCTTAACGGATAACTCAGTTTTTTAGGGGTCCGAGCAGCATAGCTGGCTACTGCAGCCATATTGTTTTTGTTCTCATTATTCTTTCTTTCTTTCTTCTTCACTAAAAGTGTTCATGCAGCAAGAACCGTAACATCAAAGGTCACCAAAATGGGTGAAAGATGGCGCTGTAACAATCACGATTACATTTTTGCAATTAACCCAAAAATGGCTTGCTTAGAGTCAAAAATCTTTCATCATTTTAATCTCTCGATTCATCTGCATCTTTGTCCCTATAGTCTTCTGCTCTAACCTTGGGAGGCAGCTGGATCAAGAAATCAAACAAGAATCCATCTTGCCAGGCTTCAAGCTATGAGCTTGTGTCGAATCATAGTGATTCAGACCAATTAGCGTCCTATGAAGAAGTACTAGCAGCTACGGCAGGAGCTACAGGCGTTGTTTAACTTTAGGTGTGTGTGACGACTTGTGTGAGAAGTGACTGTTTGCTCGAAAACAACAATGGTGGATGCTAAAGACGTTAGCATAGCACCATCAGTTATATCAGAAGTGGAGAGTATTTCTTAATAGAAAGAGCAAAGAATAGCAATGAAGGCTTTTTCTCCACAAAAAAGACGTTTGTTCTCTTCTACCAACTAATTTCAGTTAGAGTTTGACTATGTTATACATTACATTGATCCGATCTGAAATTGATATAAATAGCCAATGTAGTCCGAATAAATATTGAAGGTGCCTGCCCTTTTCTAAACAGTTTCTAGCGACCACTTGCCAGATGGTTCTGTGTAACAAAAACGTTCTTCTGCTCTAAAATTTTTGCAATTTTTATATATTTTTAACAATTCATCCCAAACTGCTGGACCAATTTACTTTTTTGATGATCATACACTGTATGTCTTAGAAACTGAACTTTCATCAGACGATTGCAAAGTGAAAAGGTCTGGACTCCACATTCTACTCCTACTGTGGGTTGCCACTGCTCTCTGGATGCTGATGAAATGAAGTGTCAGACCTAAGCCAATCCATAGGTAGCTTCTTCTGAAGACCATTCAGATTCAATACATATGTCTGAGTTCGACACACTATGAATATGGGTCATGCTATTTTCTCTCCAATTAACTGCAATGTTGCCATTTTACAATCACGGGAAAGTCGACCTAATGGGGTCAAAGGCGGCCAAGCTGGGCTGGAACATTTCTTTCCTTTTCCCGTCACAAAAATGACAAGGAAAGACAGAAATGAAAGCAACTGATCAAATTAGGGCAGAGACTTTTACCCTTTGATAAATATTGCCGGTTTCAGAAATGTCATCCTAATGAGCAAGAGAGGAACATCAGGAGAACATGATCGTTTACATCATGTTAAACGGCACAAAAACAATCACCTACGGTTTGTTTGACAGAGAGATTACAACCCTCACTCTTCTCTTTATGTGTCTGAGAAAACTAATCTGCTCCGGCTGAAGGTTCCAAAATAAAGAACAGGGAGATACGCTTCCTATCTGTGATGCAATAAATATGTGTTTCTTGACTAAATGTAAGGTAAAGTGATTCTAGTATGTTTTGTCATTTCAGTGCCAAGCCTAGTTGGTAGACACCAAAAAAGGAGGTAAAAGAAAGTGAATTTTAGACTTAGACGACTCAATATGAATGCTAAGGTGATGATTTGTCAATATTGTGTTGACAATTTGTTTCCACTTGCTTCTGCAGCAACGGAAATACCATAACAGTGGATCTGCATGTTTTCACCCACATCACATTTAAAGGAATAGTTAGACATTTTAGGTGATACTCTTGTCTGTGTTACGGGCCTTTCTTAGCTCTAAGCAGTTAGAAGTTACTGCTCCCAGGAAGAAAAAAAAAGTTCCACCACATAACCCAACATAAAATAGCATTAAACAAACAAAAGATATTACGTTAGTAATTAGTGAGCTTTAGGGTGTTTGTATTATCTTTCAATAGAGGCAGGCTACAAAAAAGAATGCAGACTTGATGTGCACTATAATGTATTACACTCCTGTTGTACATTTCAAGAATCTGCTGCCTGGAATAATAGGAAAAATACATTAAAATCTATAAATGTACTGCAAGCATTTTCAAGCTAAAACAAGTAAAAATACTGGGATGGACCTTTAAGTTGATTTTTAAATATGTATGTTTTTTGTCTATATTCTATCTAGTGGAGGTTTAAACAAAAAAAAAAAAAGTGCAAACATCAGGCATTCACACCCACTTCCCCTAAGCTCTGGCAGCTCATTTGCAGTTCAAACACAGCCCATCATCTGAGGCCAAGCTATCACCCGGCCGCCTATCCAAATGTCACCACAGTTTGCCTGATAATGTGCACAAGCACCATTCAATTCTCCCTTATCTTCTGGCACAGGCCACGTCGTTTTATATTCAACTGCGGCCTTCCAGCACATCGTATTTCACAGCCTCTTCCAGGCAACCGTGTCTGCTCATTTCATCACTGTTTCTGCCAGGGCCCGACACTAAATTAGCCCTACTTCTTCATGGTGTTGGCTTCAGAATTTCTGAATTATGCTGTGATATTTATGTGCTTTCTCAATTGTTTCAAATATCCTTAATTCACAATCTGATTAGGAGGCCAGTTAAAGGTAGAGAGAGAAGAAAGCTATCTGTGATAAGCACTCTGCTCTTCAGGAAAAAGATGTTACTATAAAGTCAATGTGAACACAGAAGACTTGACAGTTCAGCAACTGTTGAGTGCTAAGCTCTTGTGATGACGAAACCTTTAGTAACCAAATATCTGACCTGACTCCAAATTACATTATGCAGATGCCCCTGAGGGTCATACAGTAGAAAGCATGTAAGCCTGCTATGTTACTCCAGCCTTTGAGTCTGCT